AACTAAATCATAAAATCCTATCATCATCATCATCATCTCCCATCCCCTTTCACCAGATCCATTTGGAAAAGAGGAAAACTAAGTGTACTCATGAAAGTTTGTAAGCCATTTTGTGCCTTTATAGCCCCCATTTTTGATAGCCAATGTCTAAGTTGCCCACCCCTATCAACCCAGTACACTGAGGAAAGAAGCTTGATTCTTGATATGAAGAATCCTTCCATTTCAATTGAAATGTTGAGTAACTGCATCCATAGCTATGTCTGTTCTTTGTTATCAACTTTTGCATTCCAATCACCAGTAATTATCAATGCATATTGATTACAAGTTTGATCAATTTCAGATTAAATAAGTTGGTAGAATTCTTAAATTTCTTAGAGGTTAGTGCATAAATTTGAATATTAGTGGTCTTCTTTGTAGGCATATTGGTATTATCCTATCACAGATAGCATTGTCCTTCAAGATAGATCTTGAAAAGGGCTTTTTGAGGATGAATGGGATGCCATTTATCTTCAATTTGTTGTTCCAAGCATAGTAAACCATATGATTGATTCAAAATGGCCAATACCTGTCCCATTTCAGGATATCAACCTTTATGTGTTCCATTTCATTTTTAATGATTTCCGATTTTCCTATATTCCATACCTCATACAGTCTACGTTCTGATTATTAATGGATGTTTGCAGCTCTGTCTCCTCATTTTGAGTCATGTTCCTCCAACAAATGGAGGTCCATCCACATCATTAAAACTGACTCTACTTTGAGAAGACAGCTCTTCCCCAGTCATATTTTGAATGCCTTCCAACCTGAGGGACTCATCTTCTGGCACTATATCAGACAATGTTTCTCTGCTATTCATAAGGTTTTCAGTAGCCAATCCCTCAGAAGTAGACCCCCAATTCCTTGTTCCTAGTCTGGAAATCTGTTCTTAGCCTGGAAACTTCGCTGACACCTGTCCACCATGGGTGAACTTACTGGTATTTGATACACCAGTGGCATAAATTCTAGCATCACAGAAAGACACAAGCCACTACAGTAAGGCAAACTTACAGCCAGCAAAGACTTTAAGAAATTATAATACACTTTGCTGTTGAGAGCATGCATATACATTGTTGGTGGGTGGATATATTGATGGGGCATTTTTGTACTAATTAGGTGTTATCTGAATTTAATTGCTCGGACTCTGAGAGTTAGGGAGTGTGCTTATAGGAACTTGACTTACAGAAATACTCGAGTGTGTAAGTGCACGTCTCCAAGGACTCTCACTGCTGCAGTGTCTATAACAGGGAAGTAGGAAGATGTCATTGTGTGGGTGATGACAGGAGGTGGGCCAAGTACATTATGAAACCCAGTGAAGATGGTAAGAAACTAAAGTGGTTCTATATACACTGACATGGAGAGAGATGACTATAACATACTGGGAGCAACAATATGTATGATCCAATTATTGTTGAAAAATTATACACGTACACACATGTATATACATTCAAAAAAAGCAAGCAGTTGCCATTGAGCCAAGTCCCGCTTATGATGATCGCGTGTGTATCAGAGTAAAACAGTGCTCCGTAAGGTTTTCAGGGCTTTTTTTTTTTTAAAACGTTTATTGTGAATTGAGTGATAGTTTACATGGCAGAACATCAGTTTTGCACTCAACCAATCGTATTTTGTTTCATTGCAATGATTACAATCCTCTTCATGCACCATCAGTTAACTCTCTTTGCCTTTATTCTCTCTCTCATTTTTTGATGTATGCAAAAACACACAGGACACATTTTGCAAGCCCGGCTCCTGCCCACCAGCACACAGCCTTTCTCTTTCCATGAGTCTAGAGTCCTCAGCCGCTCTATCTCTCCATGCCATCACCTCTGCCTCCATCTCTGGTGTTGCTGCTTCTCTGGTTAGGATCCCAAGTTCCGCTCATCCTCTTCCCTCTTGATGATCCTGGGGTCCTCTGTTCCTGGACTGTAAGATTAACTACTCCCCTCTTTTTGTGACACAACTTCTACCTTTACAGTTGTGACCATCAAAATTAGTTGTGGTAACAATTTTTTTTAAGCGTTGACATTTTAACAATTTATTAAAGTCAGAAATAGATAAGTTCTTGATACATGAACTTTAGAAACTTAGAAGTCCCAGGAATTAGATCAAGGAATTTAAAAAATATTAAAACCTTAAAAGAGGTTTTAATATTACATTCTTCATTAGCAATCTGGGACTTGAACTTCTGGTAGCATTTTGCCCTGAACTGTTGTTACCATGATAAATTGGTCAGCAATCAAATCAAAAGAATCACATTGAATCAAAAGAATCACTCATCACTTTTCACCAGACCCATCGAGATAAGATGAAAACTATTCAGTGGGGATACTGCTTTTCCCTCCTCACTCTGAAACTAAACTCCCTCTTGAAACCTTGTAGGCCAGCCACTTCGTTCCTTTATAGCCCACATTTTAGGTAGGCAATGTCTAAGTTGTCCTTCCCTATCAACCCTGTGTACTATGTACATCAAGACTTGATCCTTGACTTGAAGACTCCTTCCCTCTTGGTTGGTATTTTGAGCAACTGTATCTATAAGCAAAGGTCAAGTTTCTCAAATTGTAGCAAATGCTTCCTGTATCAAATTTCTTTATCTTCCTGTAGTCGAATTCTGATCTTCAAGCCATCCAAGCTAGGTCAAATGGGTACAATCCGCAAGTTTGGGCAACTCCCTCTCTTCATATCAGCTGGATGATTCACTCTCAGGTCTAGCTCCCAGTGGTGAGGTCAGTATCCATGGGCTCAGGAGTTCCCAAGTCTCCCCAGACTTTGGACCAATCAGCCCTTCCTCTTCTCTCTCTCAAGTTCTATAGGAGTCTATGGAACATGGTGGAACTTAGTCCATGTCTTCATTACTACTGCCTCCCCTCCACTTCCACTCACAAGTAGACCAGTGTTGTTACTAGAGAGCTTACAAACCTGCTGGTGCGTTCCCTTTGCGTTTCAGTCTTTGAAGGAGGTTTGTCCTGAAGGGACTTGATGACTTAGCTTGAAGGCTCCCAGACGAAGAGTTTGTTTATTCTTCCATAAGGGTTTTAACGGCTGGTTTTTTTTTTCAAAAGTAGATCATCAGGCTTTTCTTCCGAGGTATCCCTGAATGGACTTGAACCTCCTACCTCTCAGTTAGCACATTAACTGTTTGCATCACCCAAAGAGTCCCATGAAAATCTAGGCCAGAGAAACCAAGACCTGCAGTCTGCCAAGGAAGAAAGTGACTCGAGGATTGGATTCTCCAGGAAATTAGTAGGGTGGGGGTGCATAAAGTGTCAGTTCCATGTCTGAAAAATGTCCCTTTCTCCTGGGTTCCCTGAGTGACATTCAGTAGAGGCGGTGAATGGGTGGGGATGGCAGCCCACAAGAAAGAAAAGTGTGTGCATATTTTGGGTGGGAAACGGAATACTGCTGGGGTGTTCAATCAGATGCACTCATTGTCAAGATGTTACTGGGACAGAGTTTGAGAGCAGACAGGAGTCTATAGGACAGAGGAAAACATGCCCTTCCAGGCATCTGCTGGGATTTACTTTGACAACCTTTCTTATCGTGATCCCAGGCCCCCGCAGTCCCCCGCCCCCATCAGCTGATTGTTAACAATAGTGCTCATAAGCAGTCCCAATGGGCCCTGTTAATGTTCTATGTACATTTGAACATATTAGCTAATTTAATCCTCCCCACAGAAATAGGATGGTGAGACTTTGTCTTGCTTACTTTGGACACATTGTCAGGAAAGACCAATTGCTAGCAAAGGCCAGGATGTTTGGTAAAGTAGAGGGTTAGCAAGAGAAGACTTCAATGAGATGGAATGTCGCAGTAGACACCATCATACTGGGAGATGGTCGTCCTGTTACAGGTTGGGTCACCTGAGTCGGAGATGACTCAATGACAACCATCAATAACAGTGGCCCTAAGGAGCGCTGGTAGTGTAGTGGTTACGAATCGGGCTGCGAACCACAAGGTCAGCAGTTCAAAACTACCAGCTGTTCCGCGGGAGAAAGATGAGGCTTTCTGCTCCTGTAAAGATTGACAGCCTCAGAAACCCTGTTCAGGGTCGCTATGGGTCGGAACCGACTTGACGGCACATAACAACAACAACAAGTAGTAGCTATGAGTCGAGCCAGTCCAACAGTGTTTATGAGGAAACGGAGCCACAGAGAGTGAGTGGTAAGGCTCTAAATGGAGCCAGTTATAAACTAGATTTGAACCCAAGCCCTTCCTTTGTGCTTCTAGCCAGTATTCCCTGCCACCTCACAATGTTGTTGTTGTTAGGTGCCTTTGAGTCCGTTCCAACTCAAAATGACCCCATGCCCAACAAAGCCAAACATTGCCAGGTCCTATGCCACTGTGGTAACGCCTGAACCCATCGTTACTGCCACGGTGCCAACCCTTCTCATTGGGAGTCTTCCTGTTTTTCGCTGACCCTATATTTCCTATATTCCATACCTGGTATCATGCCTGGTAGCATAGAGGGTTGTACATTGGGCAGTTAACACTTTACCAAGTATGATGTCTTGCTCCAGGGACGGATATCCCTCCTGATAGTATGTCCAAAGTATGAGAGATGAAGTCTAGTCTTCCTAGCTTCTGGCTGTACTTCTTCCAACACAGATTTGTTTGTTCTTCTGGCAGTCCCTGCCCTCCTTGCCTCTCTGGTTACGAGCTGGGAGTACAATCCAGAAGTCAGGTTGATGAACAGGGCCCATCTCAGGTACAACTTGGGCATCTTGAGGACCCTTTCTGACTCCCAGGCCTCACTTGCAGATAGACGAGGAAACACAGGTTAAGTAAGGGCCAGGCCCAATGAATTCCCTGCCCTTGGAAGGAAGTTGACCTCATGAACTCTGGCTGACCACTTTCTGCCCTGCTTTTTCCTAGAGCCCTTGAGACTGGTCAAGGACTTGTTGTCATAGAGATGGCTAGGAGGACAGTTCCACAGCTGGCAGGTGGCCAGTGGGGGTGGGGCAGACACCAATATGCTAAACACCCACCAACAGTTGGTCAAGGCCACAGAGGAAAGCCTGGGGCAGGACACAAGGCTCCAGGCTCTGGAGACAGCCACAGGGCTGAGGGAGCTTCAATCAGTCACGCCTGGGGCAGGGCAGGTAAGGGAGGCCGGGACTCCCAACTGCCTGGAGGCAGGCTGGCCACCTGCAGGTCAGGGGAGGCCACAGGGGACCACAACACTAGAACTGCTGTTCCGATGAGAGTCAGGGAGGATGGAAGGGCAGAGGCCACAGGGAGGCCTCTAACGTGGGGTGAAGACAAGGAATGACGTCCAGGCTTCTGCTATTCCGGGAACACTGTATGAGGAGCATAGTAAGCACTGCACTTGACTGCTAACCAAGCGACTCTGCAGGAGAAAGATGTGGCAGTTTGCTTCTGTAAAGATTGTCGCTGTTAAGTGCTGTTGCGTCAACTCTGACTCATAGCCACCCTGTATAGGGTTCCTAAGGAACAGCTGGTGGGTTCGAACTGCCGCCTTTGTGGTTTGCAGTCCTGTGCTGATCGGGTCGCTATGAGTTGGGATGGACTCTACAGCAGTGGGTTTTTAAAGGACAGAAGGAGCGGGCCTGGGGGAAAATAACAATTACCTTCTACCTTGTCTCAAGCCAGTCCAGGGCCCATGGGGCATTCCAGAAGAGCTATACAAGGCAGTGTAGAGCAGTGGTGACAAATACGGGTTCCGAGACCGATGTTATTACTTCCCCTGAGCCTCAGTTTTCTCATCTACACAATGGGAATAGTAGTGAGTATCTAAGGAGCCTGGTAGCATAGAGGGTTATACTTTGGGCTGTTAACCATAAGGCCAACAGTTCAAATCTACCAGCTGCTCAGGGCAGAATTATGAGACTTTCTGTTCCCATAAAGATTTATAGCCTCAGAAATCCTTCACAGGGTTGCTATGAGTCAGAACCAACTCTGTGGCAGGTCCTTGGGAAGGTTACGTGAATGGATCCATGACAGTCTTGAGTCATTGGAATCAAGCCCATTGCTGTGAAAGTGGGTTTGACCCTTAGTGTCTGTGGCCATTTTAACATGAAGAATTGAAATTAGGAATCCGTTTTCAGGGAGTCCTGCTGGCACACTGGTTAAGCATGGGAGGAAGACGTGACAGTCGCCTTCAGTTACCTTTCCAAGGCTGGAATCTTTATGGAAGCAGACTGCCATAGCGCTCTCTCTCTGAAAAGCTCGTGGGTTTGAATCACTGACCTTTGGCTCTATCCCACTTTAGTTTCACATTCATCCTATCATGTTTCATTTCATTACAGTGATGAAAATCCCCTCCGTGCGTCATCAAATAACCAAAGGATACATACCACAGTCCCACCCCCTTGGCTGTCAGCAAACAGCTCCTCTCCCTCCCTGAGTCCCGTGTCCCCAGCCAGTCCATCTGTCCATGCCATCATAGTCCCCCTACCATTTTGGGTCTGGGCAGTTTCCTGCACCCCCCCACCCCCCGCAAGCTATTCTTGTTGGCTATATGTTGGATCCGGGCCCACACATTTTCTGTTGTGATGCTTCTGGCTGTTCCCCGCTCCCTCACATGTCTATTTCACAATGGTAGGCAAGGGAGACCAAGATTCAAAACATGGCCAAGCATCCTAGCATTATTTCCCTCTTTTCCCTTTCAAGCCATGCCTCAATCCCTGTATCCTGAAGTCTTGTTATTCCAGGGTTGTGCATGACCTCGTGAATCACTGACCTTTGGGTTAGCACTTCTACTCTATCCTGTGCTGTCGCTATAAGAACACAACAACTATCAGTGTTAGTAGTAGCCAGGGCCCAGTCAGAATGTGCAGGAGAAAGGTGTCTCTGGGGGAGGGTTGAGGTGGTCCAGGAGATGCGGGAAGCTGGGCCTACTCTTTTGTCTCTGTCCAGGGGAGCCTCACAAGCAGAGAACGTGGGCTGCTTCAGGGCCAGCGGCGGAGGTCTCAAAGTGCAGGACAGACAGCAAAGAAGGACCAGGGGTCCTTAGGCCACAAGAAGAAAGGACATGGCTCTGCCCAGACTGAGGAGTACGTGGCTTGTGGGATGTGGCCGGGAGGGATGTGGGGCATTAGGACCCTTGGGTGCCCACTCCAGGCCCTGATCCCCCCTCCCTTCTCAGCCTCTTTCCCCCTCTACCCCGGAAGCCCTCCTTCCCCTTCCAGTGGGCCTGGGAAAGCTTCACCTTGGATGGCCGGGTCCTGCTTCAGCCTGGCTCCCCTGTGGCTTCTGGCTACCAAGCCCAACCAGCCCAGAGGACCTGGCGCCTGCCCTTGCCCAAAGCGGTCTACCAGTTGCAGCTGCAGCCAAAGTCCAGACACAAGTCCACAACCAGCCTTCCAGAGTCCCGGGACATCTCCTGGAAGACAGACGAGCAAACCTTGGAGAAGAAACTGCCACTGGAGGCCAGGGGCAGCAAAGGGGTGCATCTGGGGCTGGAGCAGCCCTGTGAGCATGGCCTCTGGCTGCCCGGGCAGCTGTGGGAACCTGAGTCCGAGGAGGCTGCTGAACCTGAAGCTCTGGGGGCTGAGGAGGCCGAGCAGGGTCTGAGCCCTGGGGAACTGCCCCAGCAACCCAGGAGTGGGTGGGAGCTGGAGGAGACAGAGGGGGCTGAGGAGGGGGAGCACAGAGTCCTTCATAGAAGGAGGGCTCAGTCTCGACAGAATGGACAGAATTCTGGTGAGGAGAATTTGGACAAGGGTGACCGGCAGGACCCCAGCCAGGAGCACAGCAACACCACCAGTGAGCGCCACAAGGCGCAGAGAAGGAAGTCAAGGGCCAAGGAGCTGGAGGGGCCGTGGGACCTGGAGAAGCTGCAAAGGCAGCTACAGCGGAACTTGGAGGAACAGGGTCTCTGTGGTGAGTGAGGGACTTACCAACCAGGAAGCCACCTAGTAGGGAGAACAGTCAGGGAGCTGGGACTATGCTCTAGAGGTAGTAGGGGGCAGGAACACACAGTGAGAAAGAGGGTGATCTCTGACTTGGTCTCACATTGGATAGGTCCCCAAAAGCAGTCCTGGAAAGTTTTACGGGATGTTGTCCAGGCATCCAGGCAGACAGGGAAGGAGCCTGCCTTCGAACATGTCGAGGCTTCTCCGTCCTTGACCTACCCTAACCGCACCTTCCACAAACGACAGGAGGCCACCAGGTAAGGTGGGGGATGAAGGAGTGGGAGTCAAGGTGAGAAGCAGAGAAGAGCCAGTTCTCCAAGAGACACTTCGTCATTCTTCCTTTCACTCATTCTTTCATTTACTCATTCACCAATCTTCCTGATTATCTAATATAAAGTGATTCCTTCATTCATTCACCCACTCACCCTCTCTCCCTTCCTTCCTCTGATCCATCCATTCAATTGATAACATCATTTAACTGTCCACCCATCCACCCATCCAATCCACCCATCTACCCATCCACCCACCCATCCATCCATCCAGGTGGCCAATCATTCATTATCTATTTATCTACTGATCTGTCCTTTCCACCATTCAGTCGTCCATCTTTCCATCTGCCTATCCATTGATACAAGTCATCTTCATTCATTGCCCATCTTTTCTTCTATCCACCCACTAGTCCGCTAACTAAGTGACTCATGCAATGTGTACTATCACATGTTTGCATATAATATAGCCACATAAATATCACATGTACACATAATTCGCATAACTAACATAGGAAACCAATGCATGAGGGGATTGTATGGTTTGCAAAATCCATATAAGGTGTTTATTATTTGTGGAAAAATAAGTATCTACTCGTGGGTCCTCAGGATACAAAGATTAAAAAAACTTGACCCCGGTCCCGAGAAGCTCAAGGTCTGGAATGGGAGACAGATGGCCAAAGCAGCAGTAATGGCATTAGTTAATCACTAGACGTGGGGCTGAAACAAGAGGCAGGGAGAGCAGAGGGGGGAGAGTGGAGGAGCCATGCTGGACACTATGAGGAGACGTTGGCACTGTCTAGATGAGGAGTGATAAGGGCCTGAGCCAGGTGGTCATGGGGACTGAGGGGGTGATTAATTTAAGAGATATTTGGAGGCTGGTTGAACAGGTCTTAGTGACTAATTGAAAGTGGCCATTAGGAAGGGGAAGATTCATTCAGCATTTGACACCCATTGCCTTTGACTTGATTCTGACTCATAATGACCTGTAGAATAGAACAAAACCGCCTTATAGAGTTTCCAGGGCTATTATTTAAGGAGCCAGAGAAGATGAGGCTTTCTTATAGCCTTGGAAACCCAGTACAGGGTCGCTATGAGTCAGGACCCACTCAATGGCACTTAACAACAACAAAAAATCTTTAAGGAAACAAACTGCCACATTCACCTTCCATGGGTTTAAACCCATGACATTCTGGTTAGTAAATGAGTGCATAACCCTGGCCACTGTACCACCAGGGCTCCTTTAGCATACTCATGGTGGTGGTGGTGGTGGCGGTAGTGAGCCACTGAGTCAGTGCTGACTCATAGAGTCCCTGCATAGGAGCCCTGCATAGGGGCCCTGCATAGGGACCCTGCATAGAGATCCTGCATAGGGGTTCTGAGACTGTAAATCTTTACAGAAGCAGGAAGTCTCCTCTTTCTCCCACGGAGCAACTGGTAGATTTGAACTGTTGACCTTGAGGTTTGCAGCCCAGCTCATAATCCACTATGCTACAAAGGCTCCTTCAGCATTCTGATGTTGTTGTTGTTGTTTTGTGCCGTGGAGTCGGTTCTGAGTCATAACAACTAGATACTATCACTCAATTTTTATTCTGTCATCCTCTGCTTGAAATATTTTCCTGCTTCCCAGACCACTGGGACAAAACCTGGATTCCTTGCTGGGGATGCTCCGTACCAGCTGGTCAGAGTGGCTGGCATGTCCCATGCCCTCTCTCCTCTCCTGGGATTTTCCTTCTTCCTCACTCAGCCAGCATCTCTCAGCTTCCAAGTGCCATCCCCAGGAAGCTCTCCTTTGTCACAGCACTTCCTCATTGATCGTCGGGATGCTGTCTGTTTGTCCCCCTCTGGCTCAGGCAGAGGGCAGATGCTAGATCTTACTGACTGACTTTCCTGGTGCCCCACACCAAACCATACACGTAGTTGATGCTCAATAAATAAACGCCAAATGAATAAGCATATCTATCCTGTCTGTCTGACCATGATACGGTTGTGTATAAAGTCACCAAATATTGACTATCTGCATATGTTAGGCACTGAACAAGACAGACAAGGTACCCTGCTCTCATGAAGCATACAGTTATTTTTTTTCCCAACCTCTAGTCACTTAATTTTATTTTTTACACTTATAAAACAAAAACCATATAATTATTTGAATGCCCAAAGGGCACATTCTGCCAGCCAGCCTACTGCCTGCAGGCACACAGCCTTACTCAGTCCATGCTGTTAGAGTCCTCAGCTGCTCTGTCTCTCCATGCCACCTTCTCTGCTGTCACCGCTTTCCTAGGTAGGATCTCACGCTCCATTCATGCTCTTCCTTCTTGATGATCCTGGGATCGTCTGTTCCTGAAATGAAAGTTGAGCGATTCCCTCCTTTTAGTTACACATCTTCTACAATTACAGTTGTAACAATTGCAATTAATCTTGCTAACAATTACTCACGATTGAGTCATTAAATCCTATCATTGTTATCCCCCGTTCCCTTTCACCAGCTCTATCTAGAAAAGAGGGAAACTATTCAGTGGGGCCACCACTCATCTGTCAGTTTGTCGTACTGCGGTGGCTTGTGAGCTGCTGTGATTCTGGAAGCTATGCCATCGGCATTTTAAATACCAGCAGGGTCACCCACAATGGACAGGTTTCAGATGAGCTTCCAGATGAAGACAGACTAGGAAGAAGGAGAGACAAACTACTTCTGAATATTTAGTTACTGAAAACCTTATGAATAGCAGAGAAACACTGTCAGATATAGTGCTGGAAATGAGCCCCTCAGGTTGGAAGGCACTCAAAATGTGACTGGGGAAGAGCTGCCTCCTCAAAGTAGAGTTGACTTTGATGACACAAATGGAGTAAAACCTGTGGAAGTAAAGTCCTTGGGACCTTCATTTGCACAACTCAGAATGAATAGAAACAGCTGTAAACATCCATTAATAACTGGAACATGGAATGTACGAAGTATGAATCTAGGAAAATTGGAAGTTGTCAAAAATGAAATGGAAC